GTGCCTTCCCCTGATCAGCCCGGTCGACTCCCACAAAGGGAGGCCAGACTGTGGCTTAGGCCCGCTCCCCAAGGGGAGCAGGGAGCAGGTAGTAGGACATCCCCTAGGGCTCCCAGTATGTGATAGGGGGCAAGCTGGGCTGAGGGAACCCCCTCCCCAGTGCACAAATTTTTGTGCACCGGGCCCCTAGTCTATTATAATAGCCTATTATAATAACCTATTATAATAGTGCGCAAAATTGCATGAGACCCAGACCCGCAGGAAATCATGTGAGACCCAGGACCCCCAAGTCCCACCAGTGCTGCGGGACTTCCCTGAGTCCCGGGGCACCATGGGACCCAGAGTCAAGTCCCTGCCCACCCGCACACAACTCGCTGCGCATGCAGCCTCCTGGTGACCGGTCGTTGGTCGTTACGGCATTACGACCACTGGGTTTTTATTATATAGATATTTTTTTGTGCCTGATCTATGCATTTTAGGCTAAGTGAAGGGTGAGGAAATCCAAGTTGTAAATTTGTGGCCATTTTTTTCCTGCTATCAAATAGCTATTAATCTTCAATTTCTCTTCCTTTCCCTACCACAGACAATCTTCCTCTGCCAAAAGAATCATCCCTAAAATCCCAGTCTATCTAATAAACTAAAGAAGTACAGCAGTAAACGAGAGAAAAACAACCAGGGACTTGGAGAAAGTATGGGGTGGAGGGAAGGGATGCTCAAGCTCAGGCTGGGACAGGGCTGGAGAAGTTCTCTGTGTTTTAGAGCAACAGGGTAGGCATCTCGTCTATTTCTGCAGGTGACTCTATGCTTGTGGATCTACCTGTTCCTCTTGTGTATTCATTCAGTCAATTTTTTAATGAGGCCCTACTGAGTGCCAGGCCTGTACTATGAGCAAAGAGGAAAAGTATTGAATGAAATGTTTGTTTGTTTTTTCCCAGAGAGATATGAATTTTATTCTATTATTTTAACTTATATTTTATTTTTGAAACTATTACACATGTCCCCACTTCTTCTCCCTTTGCCCACCACCACCTAGCCCCTGCCCTCCCTTACCTCTGGCCATCACAGCACTGTTGTCCCTGTCTATGGGTTATACACATATGTTCTTTGGCTAATCCCTTCACCTTCTTTCATCCAGTCCCCCTACCCCAGCCCCACCCCTCTGACAGCTAACAGAATGTTCCATGTATCTGTACCTTTGGTTTTGTTTTGTTCTTCAGTTTATTTTGTTCATTAGATTCCACATATAAGTTAGATCATATGGTATTTGTCTTTCTATGACTGGATTATTTGGCTTAGCATAATATTCTCCAGGTCCATCCATGCTATCACAAAAGATAAGAGTTCCTTATTTTTTATAGCTGCATAGTATCCCATTGTATAAATGTGCCACAGCTTTTTTATCCACTCATCTATTGATAGGCACTTGGGCTATTTCCAGATCTTGGCTATTGTAAATAACACTGCAATGAATATAGGGGTGAATATATTCTTTTGGAATTAGTGTTTTGGGATTCTTAGGATATCTTTCCAGAAATGTGATAGCTGGGTCCAAAGGCAATTCCATTTTTAATTTTTTGTGTAAACTCCAGTCTGCATTCCCACCAACAATGCACAAGGGTTCCCTTTAAGAGTTGGCTTAATAGACATGAAAAACGCTAAATGTCTCTAATCATCAGAGAGATGCAAATTAAAACCACAATGAGATATCACTTCACACCTTCCAGAATGGTTACCATCAATAAACCAACGAACAAGTGCTGGTGAAGATGTGGAGAATAAAATATGTTTTTTTTTAGTGAACCTCCATGTCTTTCTTTGAGTAGCAGTGATCTTGAGGATCTCTGTGTTTGTGTTTGTGTATATATGTTTCTTTGTATCTATGACAATTCAAGGTGTGCATGACAGTGATCATTTCTCTTGTTTTGGCTTCAGAGGACTTCCTTTCACTTGCTGTGATTCACTTCACAAAGAATGAGCCTATCTGTTTGATTTTTATAAGCTACAGAATTGGGGGTATGATCACTAGCAATTTAAAAACAAATAGAAATCCTATATAAATGCTCTTTTGTAAAAGTTTTAACTGTATTTTTATTGTAAAAAATAACATGTTGCCAGCCAGTGTGACCTATGAACCAGGAGGTCATGGTTCGATTCCAGGTCAGGGCACATGCCTGGGTTGCAGGCTCAATCCCGAGTGTTGGGCATGCAGGAGGCAGAAGATCAATGATTCTCTCTCACCATTGATGTTCCTATCTCTCTTATCCTCTCCCTTCCTCTCTGAAATCAATAAAAATATAAACAAAAAGAAAAAAAAATAATGTTATTAGTTCAAGCATGATTTCAGGAGTCAGGAAGAGGAAAAGTGACAATTTCCACCAATGGTCATATTTTCATGGGCATTACTGGCTTTTAGTAAAGGTTCATACATAGATCATCTTATTGAACATACCAGTCAGTAGTCCTGATAAAGCAGATATCATCAGGACCTGAATTGTTCATCCCTATGAAAACAAACAGAATAGCATTGAATTAAACCAGTCTGTTTTAATAGATTCTGTGTGATCAAATTGTTTAGGGCCATTCTCTGTCCACTTCTTTCATCTGGCAGGATATATCTTTATGCCCTTGCTGCCTAGAAATACTTAAGGAGAGATACTCTGGAAAAACATTAACAGGTCTGTCTACTTTTATATTTATTCTCCCAGGGAAACAGAAGTACCTTTGTGCCAGCAGAAATGATTGCACCATCGATAAATTCCGAAGAAAAAATTGTCCATCTTGTCGCCTCCGGAAATGCTATGAAGCAGGGATGACTCTGGGAGGTATGATACTTTTATTCCTTTTTCTTCTCTTCCCTTTCCTGTCCTCATTCTCTGGTTCTCTCTTTAAACCAGAATTTCCTCTTTGCTATACCCCATTCTTGGGCTAAGCATGAGAGCAGGAGGTATGAAGCAAGAATCAGGCAGGACTCTCTTCAGGGATGAGTGTGGACTTGACTAAGAAAGGTTCCCCAGAGGACATAATGGTACTGGCCTTATGTTGTTAAATGGTGGCTAGGATGAGAGAACTAAGAAATTCAGAACAATTAGAGGTGCAGGATGACCCAGGCACAGGCTGGCCTTGAACACCCAAGAATATCCATCAGTTAACTGCTGCTAATATTGTAGGTCTGGCCACCTGGAAAGAGAAGCTGCTTTTCTTTGGATCCTATGACTAAGCTGCCAAGCAGAGCCAATTTCCTATCCCACACCTCCTAGGGATGAACAGGTCTTTTAATCATGCCCCTTTCCTTGCAAATATATTGATAATTTCCAAAAGCATTTATTTTGGTAGCACAGTAGCTTGACCGAGGTAAGATACAGCTCTTTCAATGGCGACTCCACATAATAAGGTTCTTTGTTCCCTAGTCTGTGTCTATCATAAGCACTGGTACCATTCCAGAAAAGCTTTGCTGACACTTATACCCCCAACCAATTTCTCATTTCTTCATGTTCACATCTGTTTAATGCCAGAGTCATCTCTGCTGCCTTCCACTTCCAGAAAGATGCACCTTTCATGAGTAAAGCAAGATCATTAGTCTATTTTGATTTCAAAATGGAACTTGAGAAAAGACAAATCTACTTCTGAATGCCTAAAACTGTAGCTTCATACCTGAATACTCCTTATCAGCCTATCAGATTCTAGGAAAACGTATGCGCCCAGAATCCTGCCCTCTCCCCTCCCCTCTTAAGGCTAATTTAAAGCACTTATCCATCTTTAGTTTTTATTTGTTTGTTTGTTTGTTTGTTGTTGTTGTTGTTTTTATGACATGCTCAATACCTTGTCTTCCTATGTGCATATTTATAAAAACCAACTTGTTTTCTAACCATGTGTGGGTCTTCATGTGGATAACTCTATACTCCCTTCCTTATAGGCCAGTAATAGTCCTTAAACAGACAAAAGTACTGCAAATAAATTGATCCAGGCTCAATATGAGATGGTTTTAACAGAAGCCTTTCAAGTAGTGTCTAGTATTCCCAGAAATCATAGGCAGATGCTCTGTGAGTGGTTTTCCAGGCAGTCACATCAAATGAAACTCAAATATTAAAAAAAATTAACCTTGTTCTTGTTTGCTTGGCTTCTCCAGATAAATCTCAATTGTAGTGGGGAGGAAGAAATAAGACTGGGATGGGGGAGTGCAGAAGGAAAACAAAAGGGAAGTTTTTTCCATGTGAATTTTATGACCCCATGTGAGGTTTCTGATACACTGAACTCTCATTTAGCTGTCTGTGAATTGTGTATAAGAGATGGGGCTTGCAAGTAGAGAACCCCTTAGTTTTCCATTTGTTGATATGCCCACTTTGATGCAGGAAAAGCCTAATGGCAACCAAAGTCCTAATACAGTTGGCTCCCAATCTTAAAATTAGTGTCATGTCTCAGCCAGCATCCTCTATTATAAAGCAGTCTATGACATGATTACAGTGAACCCCTTTGAAAAGGAGTTTATGTATAAGAGATCATTTTACTACTCCTTATAGAAGATAGGCACAAATCTATAAATCTTTGGTGAGAGTGGTATGGTAAATTTACAAATTGACTTTATACAGTTGAACAAGTTAAACTTTGAATAGGCTTGGTAAACACAATGAAAATAAGCTGAAAAGTGCTGTGGTTGACTTTATTTCACTGCCATTTCTGTAATATTCACTGTGTTTCTACTATGTACAAGGCACCATGCTAGGCAATAGAGCTTCAGGCAGGCAAATTTCAAGAAATGTCTATAAGATAAAAGGATTTTTATGTCATGTAAATGCCTTTGTCTTTGGAATCAGGAAGACCTAGGTTAAAGGCCCAGCTCCATTATTTATTGTGCCCTGTCTATGTCTCAATTTCTTCATCTGTAAGGTTAGAAATATCACTCTCACAGAGCTATAATGGGAGTCATATGCTATGATAAATGTGAACATTTTTGGTAAAGGACAAAGTGTGAGGGTTTATTATGACAGTGAGGTTACTAGTTATTTATCTGGTTAGGATGTTCACAGCACTTCCCAGTTGGCTCTTATTCTGAGTTACTTGGCATATCCTATGATAGTAACAGCTCCAACAGGCAGAGAATCACCAGAAATCACTCTTGATTACCTCAAACCAAAAATACTGTCAAGATCTTTTTCGAGATGATTCTAGTAACTAAGATAATTATATATTACTAGTGGCCTGGTGCACGAAAATTTGTGCACTCAGGGGGGTCCCTCAGCCCGGCCTATGCCCTCTTGCAGTCTGGGACACTTTGGAGGATGTCCACCTGCTGGCTTAGGCCCACTCCCTGGGAGATCAGGCCCAAGCTGGCAGTCAGCCATCCCTCAGGCAGCCCAGCAGCCCTCGGGGGATGTCCACTTACCAGCAGGGAGCAGACCTAAGCTGCAGTAGGACATCCTTAGCGCTGCTGAGGAGGCGGGAGAGGCTCCCACCACTACCTCTGTGCTGGCAGCAGTCAGCCTGGCTTGTGGCTGAGCAGAGCTCCCCCTGTGGGAGCACACTGACCACCAGGGGGCAGCTCCTGCATTGCGTGTCTGCCCCCTGGGGATCAGTGTGTGTCATAGTGACCAGTCATTCCCAATCATTCTTCTGTTAGGGTCAATTTGCATATTACCCTTTTATTATATAGGATAGAGGCCTGGTGCACGGCTGGGGTGCCTGGCCAGCCTGGGTGAGGGGCTGATGTGTGTTTGCAGGCTGGTAACACCCCCTTCAGGGTGGAGGTCCCCACTGGGATGCCTGGCCAGACTAGGTGAGGGGCTGATGGCTGTTTTCAGGCTGGTCAAGCCCCCCCCCTAGTGGGGACCCTCACCCCATGGAGGTTTGGCCAGCCTAGGTGAGGGGCTGAGGGCCGTTTTCAGGCTGGCCAAGCCCCCCTGACGACGGAAGCTCCTAGCCTCTTCTTTTTTCTTTTTTCTTTTTTTATTCTGGGATTTATTTACCTTCTATAATTGAAACTTTGTAGCCTTGAGTGGAGCTAAGAGCTGGCCAGGGCGGGCGGGAAGCTTGGCTTCCTCCTTTGCCAGGGGCAACCCAAGCCTCCTGCTCGCTCCAGCTCCGGGGCCACGGCCAGCTGAAAGCAGGCATCTGGGGTTTATTTATCTTATATAATTGAAACTTTGTTGCCTTGTGTGGAGCTCAGAGCCAGCCGTGGCAGGCGGGAAGCTTGGCTTCCTCCATCACTGGAGCAACCAAACCTTCTGCTTGCTCCAGCTCCGTGGCTGCCGACCACCATCTTGGTTGGGTTAATTTGCATATAATCGCTCTGATTGCCTGGTGGGTGTGGCTTAAGGCATAACGAAGGTATGGTCAATTTGCATGTTTGTCTTTTATTAGTGTAGATGTTCAAGTACCATGTCAGTAAGAACCCAAATGTTTACCCTCTTAGACATCATTGTTTGCAAAACAAACCTTTCCATTTTGCTAAACTTAAGTCTCCATTTCTTTTTCTTTACTTTTTTATTTTAAATTTCTTTATTGATTAAGTTATTACATATGTGTCCTTATACTCACATTACCCCCCAACCCCCACTGTTGTCTGTGTCCATTGGTTAGGCCTATATGCATGCATACAAGTCCTTTGGTTGATCTCGCCCCCTTACCCCCACCCTCCCCTACCTTCCCTCTGAGGTTTGACAGTCTGATCGATGTTTCTCTGTCTCTGGATCTGTTTTTGTT